TCCATCCCCTGATGGGGCTGGGTCTCTCTGCCTCCATTTCCTGACTTCTGCCTCTCTGTCTCTCTGCCTCCAGGACACGTTCACATCACGGACTTCAACATCGCGACAGTTGTGAAAGGGGCGGAAAAGGCTTCCTCCATGGCCGGGACCAAGCCCTACATGGGTGAGTGTGCCAGGCCCCCTTGGGGTGTGAGGAGGCCTCAGGTGCCGCTCCTGATTCACTGTCACTCCATGCCCACCCCGCCAATCCCGGACGGTGCCTTCCCCTGCCACGCCGCTGCCCTGTCCCAAGACGGTGTCCCTCAACTTTCTAGAACTACCCGGGCCAGAAGCCTTGGCTTACAGGGGAACAAAAAAACAAACAAAAACAACTTTTTCTCTTCTGCTAAAGTCCAGCGGTGTTGCCAGAACCTAACTCCAGTGTTGCGTCTCTGGGGCCTGGGTTCTGCCGCCCACAGCGGGTCCCCCGTGGGTGACCTCAGGACCCCGGTGGACGTGTCTGTCATGTGCAGCCTGCTCCTTCACTTCGTTTTCGTCACCGAGGAGGACTTGTCTGAACGCCGGGTCTTCCCTGCCAGTCTGCAGTCTTTGTCCTTGTAGATTCCTCTTACCTCTCCCTTCAATTCTTTAAAACTCTTCTCTGTTTCTTTTTAAGCACTATCTGGTGTGTTTATTTTGTGTGTTTTCTAGCCAAGTATTTATTTCAGAAATAGTTTCCCTTTGTTTCACTTTTTCCCTTGAGGTCTTTTGCTTAAATTTTGAGCTTCAAATTCTGATTTATGCTGGTCTTCCAGGTCTCCAATTTTAAACTCTACATCAGTTATTAATTATTAATGTTCACATTAATTGTTATAGCTGTGTAATATACCATGTAAAATATACTGGTATAAAACAATCACAATGTATTGTTTCTCACAAGCCTGCCATTTGATGGTGTAGTTAGTGAACATTCCTCAGCCAACACTCAGAAGCCTGTCAGGTGCCCCTACACTGCTATTCTTCAATGAGAACATCCCTGAACCTCATTGCATTCAGTATCTGCTGTACAGAAATTCATCCCTTACCTACTGTGTGCCTATCAGTTAGCAAGGCCACTATGAAGCCTACCCTTAAAGTGTTCACAGTCAAGTTAGGGATGGAGACAAGTCAGGGAAGGGATAGAGACAAGTCAAAGCAGAAGAGATGGAGATAGGTCAACACAGTAGGGATGGAGATAAGTCAACACAGTAGGGATGGAGATAAGTCAACACAGTAGGGATGGAGATAAGTCAACACAGTAGGGATGGAGATAAGTCAACACAATAGGGATGGAGATAAGTCAACACAGTAGGGATGGAGACAGAAACAGAATGGATGGAGACAAGTCAACACAGGAGGTATGGAGACAAGACAACATAGAAGGGATGGAAACATATCAACACAGTAGGTATGAAGAAAGGTCAACAGAGTAGGGAAGGAGACAAGTCAACACAGTAGGGATGGACACAATCAACACAGTGGGATGGACGCAAGTCAACAACAGTAGTTATGTAGACAAGTCAACACAGTAGGGATGAAGACAAGTCAACTCTTTCACCCTTTCACCCTGCCCCTCCCTTCCGGTAACCACCCAGTTTTCAGAGCTCAGAGTTACTTTTCTTGTGTTCTCCCATGGGCTTTTTGAGTTGTTTACAGCCACAGATGAGTGGGACTACCTGATGGTCTTTACGGCCTGACCTCTCCTGGAGTCACCAACTCCGTGCACGGGCCGGCTGTCTGCACGGGCCGGCTGTCTGCACGGGCCGGCTGTCTGCACGGGCCGGGCTCCTTGCCTGCGCCGCTGTGTGGTGCCACCCTGACGCTGGTCGCTGTGCGGTGGCTGGGCCCACATCTCGGCTGCTGCGGGAGCACTGTGGTGGGCGTGCCCGCACCGGTGTCTCTCCAAGTCAGCGCTTGGGTCTCTGCAGATAATAGCTGGCGGGGGTCTCTGGGTCTGATGGTATTTCCACTCCTGACATCTGTGCTGAATCTGCTCGTGGCACCCTCCATGCTTAACATGGTTCCATCTCCGGGCCTGCCGCAGCAGTCATTTCAGAGCCCCCAAACGGCCCCCCCAGTTCCCTTGCAGAGGCGGGAAGGCCTAATGTTCGCCAGTTGAGCAGAGTCTAATGAAATCAGTTTTCTGTTGCTATTAATGCTTCTAGCATTAGTATCAGCCTGACGGAGCAATCTCATGTCAAACTGATGTGCGTATGCGCCTGAGCTCATCTGCCCTGCAGGCGAGAAATCAGTAGGAGTGGGCACACCCCAGCTGGGACCCCGGCCAAGCCAGGCTGCTGCTTCGCTCTGCTTCCCACCTCACTGTAATGCAGAGGCGACGGGGTGCTGCACCCTTTGGGGAGCCTGTCCCCGCGGCACCCCATCAGTTGGCTTTCACTCACGTGTGCGTTGTGCTTCTTGCTCAGTAATGCACTGACACCCTGGTAGGCAGCTTACCACGCTGGGACCTGGCTCGGTGTCAGCCCAGTGCCAGGGCCCCTCGCTGCGGGGGCAGGTGACAGCGACGGGAACTCCGAGACGTCACAGAGGTCCAGTGCAGCCTTTGCTGTCTGGGGTTGCCACAGAGGTGGGGAGCCCCACCGGGCTTCCGTGTGATCCCCTCGCACTGGGCGTCTCGCTCTGGCCAGCTCCCGCTAGCCTGGTGGCCTGGGGCTGACCTCACCGTGGCTCTGCTCTTGAAGCCCTCCCAGCCCAGTGAGGACATGGACGCATCTACCATTGATTAAAGTGTAGCACGGTGCGTGCTGCAGACAGAGAGCAGGCTTTGTGGCAATGCAGGACGCAGGCTGGTGTCCTGCCCGGGGAGGGGTCCTGAAGCACAGACCCAGGCCCCGGCCCAGCTTCCCCTCGCCCCCCTCGCCTGCCCCCCGAAGGCCAGCCTGAGGACCGAGCGGCGCCGTGTCTAACACCCTGGGATGGCTTTGGCTACTCTGACAACTGCAAAATGAAATTACGCCTGCAAATTAATTTTCAGGAAATGATCCTTATTTTGCACCATCTCCCTGGAAGCCGGCGTGGGCCACACGCCAGTGAGCCCTGGGCCCGGTGAGCTGGGGTGCTGCAGCGAGATGATGTCGCCACTCGGCATGCCCTTTACAGAGCGGCAGGAGCCCCAGGCTTGCAGCCCCCAAAGAGCAAGCTCCCCACACCTGGGTCCATCCCTCCCTCCTTTTATTAATCACGATGGAATGTGCGTGCCATCAGCTCATCCCTTAAAGCTACGCTGG